ACGCAATGCGTATCAAGGAAGGCCCTGTCATAAAGGAAGACGATACGCATTCGCGTGTCGTAACCTTACGACGCGCGTGTTAATGACACGCAATGCGTATCAAGAAAGCCTCTGTCAAGAAAGGCCATGTCATAAATGAAGATGACACGCATGTTTGCGTATCATAATTTTAAATGTTAAAAAAAATTTATTTTTTATAGATTTACTAATTTTCAAATTAAATTTGCATTTAATGCCTCACAATATAAAATAAAATATCATATACAAAAATATAATCCATTTCATAAAATTTAATGTCATACAAATAAAATACCATAAACAACAAAGATAATTCATTTCACTAATATGTCAAATACAAATAATTCATTTTAATTAAAAAATTACAAATTAATATCACCGGTAACAATGTCAGGCTGCAAAACATTAAAAAAGTTATTCTACAATCTATATATACATGAAGGAAAAGATCATACTATCCATACCAATGCATAATCCTTCATGAAGCATCTATACACCAAGCCAACCAGATAAGAATTAAAGACACAGTGATGCATTATGAAATCAAATAAAAGATAAGTTAAAATGATGAACAATGAGAGTTCAGGTTAAAAAACTTAGTCAAACAGTAAAATGATTGATGAAAAGTACCTTGAATTTCATCTGCTTCCTCTTTTTCTGATATGATCAAGCCATAAGCTTCTTATATAAATGTAGTAAATTTTGTCCCTACTATCGAAAATATCCTCCCCCACAAAAAGATTTGAAAATCTTTCTTTCATCATTTCAAGCTCTGATATAACAAATTAAAATAAAAAAATGATCAAAATTATGTGAATAAATTAATTGAATTGTAATAAAAACTCACCAAAATCAGTAGGTTTCTGATCTTGTCTGTGGTTATGCCTAATTTCACAAAATCTTGAAAAGACTTGGTTGATAAGGTGATCTTCCTGAAGTTGGCCCTTTCTGATTAAGAAATATCTCCTCTGCCAAATAGCTTCCCTATTTCCCACACCCTACACCCAAAATAACGATAAACAAAAAATTCCAAAAGTTTAAGAAATCACAATGCTGATTGGATTGGATGAAAGCATGAGTGGTTCTAGGAATCAAACCAAGCTTCCAATTAAGAACATCTAACCAACCTCAGAGTCAGCTTGATCCCAAGGGCGGACAAGACCTTCGTTATCATTATCCTCTCCCTGAAAGATCTTTGCAACTTGCATCAGTCAATGATAACGCGCAGGGGGAAACTGAAATCCAAGGAAAGGAAGCCGCACGACCAATCTTTTGTGGGGAAAGATGGATTCTCTGATTGGATCTAGATGGAGAGATGAAGTGTTATCAACTGACAACATATAATTATAATAATCATGTTTCAAACTTGAAATGAATATACCTGTTGAAGCTTACAAGTCACACCACACTTATCAATAATAGGCAAGAAACTAACGATACTAGACTGCGAAGAACCGCCAAATCCTCCTGTCAACGAACGTTGACTCCAATGATAGTCACCATCAACAAAAAAAGCAGATACATCACTTAATACTACACCAAATTGGAGATAAATATCCTTCTCGTGAGAAACGTCATCATCATCATCATCATCATCCTGTGCATGTTTGAGAAATTTTATGAAAAAGTTATCAATCAAGGATATTTGGGCTGATCAAAGAGAAATCACTATGGACCAAACTGAGTACGGATTATCAAGAAAAAACAGATGGTATAATTAGAAAGAGAAATGGACACGCCTATCATCACCTGATGCAGCAGCTGCAGATGCCATTACTGCAAGAATGTTGGCAGTTTTTTTACCCTTCCAACCGCCCAGATGCAAAGAATGCTCTGTATCAAGCGACTATTAAGCAAGGGGATTTCTTGCTCAATCGTATTCAGAATCTCTCTCGTGTTATTGATCTTTAAGTCTTTCTTTCTTTAAGTCTATCTGTAACCTCTCCTTCTTTCCTTCCTTCTTTCCATTTTCCCCAATTCAAGACTCCTCCTAGTAACAGCAAGACTTTTCAAATGTAATAGTTTGTTTTAAGTATTATGATTTTTATTGTGTATCATGATTCTTATGCAACATGAAAATTTTATATACCATTAGATTAGTATTTAGTAATATTGATTTTGAATTGCTGATTAGTGAGGTTAACAATGATTTCCATCAGCAATTCCATTTTTTTCATACCAAACCAAACCACTACTTAAGTTTTCATTAGGCTGACCTGTGTTGATTTTCCATGTGTTGTGAAAATTATGTTTCGTTTCCATCTTAACCGTGTAACCTTTCAACTTTTTTAAAGTATCAAACTACAAAATTTATTTGCTTTGCTGTAAAAAGAACAGTTCCTTTGCTTTTCAACTTGGTCTTGTAAGAAAAGCGTCTTTAATCTTATTGTATTTGGTATCTTCTTCATCTGTTTGTGGTAAAGGTTAAGACATTAGACATATATAGAAGAGTTAGGTTCTAATTCATCCTCTAGGCATTTTACAGAGCTCACAACCTGATAAAAAAATAAATTCCGAAAATTCATGTTTTTGGTTTTGCACATTTTACAGTTTTCACAGAAGCAGAGTAATGGCCACCACTAGAGATAGTGATGGTTTTTTATCGATTCCAAGAAGGGAATAACAAAAAATCTTGGATTGGAACAAGAAACAACTTAAATTAGAATGAATAATTAAAATGAAATACAAAAACTTTGCAACACAAGGAATATAATGGACTCTGTAGTTTTGATCAGCATCATTTTGAGCTTACTCAAAATACAACAGTCCTGTTGTGTTGATAAGGTAGAACGCGTAACTCACAATATGACTTGATTGCCTTCATAAGGCATTGTTTTTCAAGATTCTCAGATTTCTGAATAAAACTCAGCAAATTATCCTTGTGCGAGACTCTCTCAACCTGCAAACCCAAACAGAAACTATTTGACTTTTCACCTTAGCATATATATACTGCATACTACTGATACTGAGAAACTTAAAACTCTTTGATTACCATCTGCTCAATGATTGGGCCCCCATCAAGCTCCTCCGTGACAAAATGGGTTGTGGCACCAATCAAATTGACCCCAGCTTCAAAAGCCTGTCATTCTCCAGTAAAAAACATAAAAACATAAAAAGCTTAAAACAGAATTTGGAAATTGGAACACAGAACCTGCCTGCCTAGATGGATTTCCTCCCTTGAATGATGGCAATAAGCCATGATGTATGTTGATCACATCCTTCCCATATCTTTTCAAAAAGTTTCCAGACAACACCTGTCCTGGGTAAATAAACAAATAAGACCTTTTTCCCAATCCTGCTGCTATACTACTACTAGAAAAACATTTACCTGCATGTATCTAGCAAGGACCAAGAAATCTGTATCTTCAACCAACCCCAATATCTCATCTTCTACATTCTTCTCCTTTGACTTGGAGATAATGATATGGAATCTCATGTCTTTCAAGGAACCGCATCACATGGGTATTCCCACCCTATCATGATTGATTTCAAAATACAGACATATTATACACATCATTTACTGGTCAAAGATAACAAATAAAAAAAAAGTTCCATGCTTTACCTGATTACAGAGCTTATCTGAACCGGAAGTTTTCCATCTTGCCAAGCATGCAGTAGATCAACAAGACAATGGTCCTGCACCAGCAACCTCCTTACTAATGTAATACTATTTTTGGTTTTCACTAACAATTTTTTCTAGAAAGAAGAAGAAGAACCTGCTTAGAAGCAAGAAGAGCAATTTTATATTTGGGGTCTACAGAAGGCACTCGAACAAGCGATTTAACTGCATTGAACATCTTTGATAGGTCAAGGAAGTCCTCGTTCATTTGCTTCCGCTGCCATTTAATTGGGTCGAACACAAACTCACTGAAACACAATTTATTCTTACTTGTTACTTATCAACTTCATGTCAAGTTGGGATTATTAGTAGATTAATATACTTGCACTTGTAAAACCAACATACAGGGGAAAAAATCCATTCATTGATTGGGATAAAAAAAAAAAAAAAGATGCCCAACGTATACAGGGGAAAAAATCCATTCATTGATTGGGATAAAAAAAACATACAAAAGAAATACGAACCTCCTTTGAAG